GCAGCAGGCGGTAGAGTGCGAGTGGGCCTCGGCGAAGGGGCGTGAGGCTGGTGACGCCTCTAGCTGGGTGTCAGCGCTGGTGCTGCTCGACCTGCTCAAGGCGTACGAGCAAGTGCAGCACGGGCGCCTCATCCAGGCGGCGGTGCGAACGGGCTTCCCGCTGTGGCAGCTCAAGCTGCAGGTCAGCCTCTACAGATCTCCGAGGTGGCTTGCGCTGGGAGAGGCCTTGAGCAACCCCATCGCCACCAAGCAGGCGGTGCTGCCAGGCGACGGCTTCGCCACGCTCATGCTCAAGATGATGCTGATCGAGCCCCTCGACAAGCTGCAAGCGCTGGTGCCCACCGTCTCCCTGTCGGTGGTGGTGGACGATCTCATCCTGAAGCGTGTCGGAGGCCTGCGGCGCACGGTGGATGAGGTGGCGACGGCGACACGGCGCCTCAAGGAGCTCCTGGGGAAGGCCGACCTTCGCATCGCCACCAAGAAGTCCAGGGCCCTCTCCAACTACCCTGAGGCGAGGCACGAGCTGGAGCGGAGGCTGCAGAGGACGGCAGGCGTCACTGCGGCGAGGCAGGAGCGCAACTTGGGCGTCGACTTCAGTGGAGGCAAGCGGCTCGGACGTGAAGTACGAGCAGGAAGGATGCAGCAGGCCCAGCAGCGCCTTCGGAGGGTGAAGATCGTCAAGATGACGAAAGGCAGGAAGCCCGCGACGAGGAGGCTCGCGAAGACCGCCCTGCACCCCAGCATCGGGTACGGCACGGCCATCACAGGCTGCACCACGACCGAGCTCGATCGTGCCAGGTCCCTGACGTTCGTGGCGGTGTCGAACACCACGGCGGAGAAGTCAAGGACCCTCACGATGATGCTCCAGCCAGGGCTCGACCCGATAGTCGACGCCACGTGCAAGCCCGTGCAGATGCTACTGCGCGCGGTGTGGGAGGGCTGGGTGCCACGCCACATGGTGGTCTTATGCCTGCAGGACGCGCGCACGGTCACGTGGGCCCACGTCCAGGGCCCTTGCGCGGCGACGCTTCTCTCGCTGCGGAGGATTGACTGGGAGGTCGTCACGGCCAATTGCTGGAGGATGGACGATGGTGGCCTCCTTGCGCCGTTTGACATCTCCCCGTGGATCGTGATCAAGCTGGTGCAGCGGGCCATCGTGAAGTGGCAGTGGAGACAAGCCAGCCTGGCGCCTGGGTGCGCTCACCTGGCGGAGGGCGGGACGCTGGAGCCGCTCATCAGGCTCACCTCCACTGGCTGTGTCACGAGCGTGGCGGACAGGAGGGACGGTATCGCCGCGGGCACCAAGGTGCGGCTCACCCTCAAGGAGCGGGCGTACCTCCACTCCCTGGTGGTCAATGGGCAGTGGCCCCAGGCGCGCAAGGAGGAGAAGGGCCTTGCCGAGTGTGCTGAGTGCCTGCGGTGCGGGGGCAGAGGGACGCTCCTGCATCGCCACTGCGATTGCGAATGCTGGAGAGAGGTGCTGACGCTTCCGAAGGAGATCGCGGACCTCAGGAAGCGGAGCCACCTGCCCGAGGTCACCCTGCTGTTGGAACGGTGCCTGTGGCCGACGCCGCCTGGGCTACGCAAGCCACGGGCCAGTGACCTGGTGTGCTGGCGCGGCGACCACGACGGCGGGGTCCTCCCTGGTGGCGAGTTCTTCCTCGACGGCTCCGCGTTCGAGGCCGACTTCGACGAGTTCGCATCGGTCGGCTGGAGCGTGGTCGCCTTGCAGCCCGATGCCGATTGCTACCTGGCCTCCGTTGCTGGGCAGTTGTGCGGCGCCTACGTCGACATCAACGGGGGCGAGCTCATGGCGGTGATCATGGCGCTGCGGTTCAGCATGGGCGTGGTCACGCTGGTGGTCGACTCGAAGTACGTGTACGACGGCTTCTACAAGGCGGGTCGCACGAACACTGCCGCCTACGCGTACTCCTGGGCGCACCTGTGGCGGCTGGCGTGGGCCCTGGTGGACGACAGAGGAGGGCTTGGTCGTGCAGTGCACCTCCGATGGGTCCCTGCCCACCGCACCAGGAGGCAGGTCGTGGACGGCGCCATCAGCTACCGCGACTGGAAGGGCAACTCGTACGCCGACGCAGCTGCGAAGGCGGCGGCTGCCCAGGGCCGTGCCTCGGCCGCCGATCGCCGCAAGCTGCACCTGGCTCGGCAGCAGGTGGACTTGGTGGCCATGTGGTGCACTGCGGTCGGCACATGGGTGGATGGCAGCGACACCACCCATCGCAAGGAGCGGCCGAAGAGGGCGGTTCGGCGGCGCCGCGAAGCCTCCGCGTGGCTGAGCTGCAGCTGGCGCGGGAAGGGCAAGGACAGATGGTGTGAGGTCTGCAGGTGGACCAACCGCGCTGGCGAGTGCCCTGGCAGCATCCTGGAGGACGCGGTGAAGGCCAACGAGCTGCTGGTGCAGAAGGGGCTCGCGGCGCACGACCTGGTCGCCATCGCTCCTGTGCTGGACAGCGAGCTGGAGCGGAGGTTGCCGTTGGTCGCATGCACCAGGTGCGGGTTCACTGGAGCCGCTCGCGCCTGCAGCTTCGGGCTGGAGTGCAAGACGCCGCCCTCGGCCGCGGGCAGCGCGGCTATCGCGCGCCTGCGTGCTGGGCTCGCGCCCAGGATCGCGAGCGAGGTTGCCGTCACGCTGCGGCGCCTTGGCGGTGGCGAGCCGACGGCAGCAGCAGAGGAGGTGGGCGCTGGCCCCGCCCCTCCTCCCGCCGAGCCCATCAGTGGGAGCCCCGTCGCTCGTGGCGAGGACGGTGGCCAGAGCGTGCCACCTATGAGAGGTGAGGACTGGGGCTCTGAGGCGGCGGAGGGCGTCAGAGGCGGCGACGGCGCTGGAGGTGAGGACTGGTGCGCCGCTGGAGCAGCTGCAGAGGCCGCGGCGACCCCCACGACCCCTGGGGAGGGCGAGGCCGATGGGGAAGGCCGAAGGGACGCCAGCGGCCCAAGAGGAGTGGAAGGGCCGCCAGCGCGGCGCCACCAGGGGCCTCCGCCGCGGGCTCACCGCCCTGCGGGCGGGGGCGAGGACGAGGGCGCGGACTCTGCTGAGGCGGCAGAGAGCGGCCCAAGAGGGGTGGAAGAGCCGCCAGTGCGGCGCCACCAGGGGCCCCTGCCGCGGGCTCACCGCCCTGCTGGCGGGGGCGAGGAGGGAGAGGGAGCGGCCGCGGGCTCTGCGGAGGCGGCGGAGGCAGCGCGGCGGAGCTCCGTGGTCGCCTCGCTCCTGGCCGCCTACCGCCGCGGCTGTGACGCGGCGGGGCTGAGCGACGGCGCTGCTGCGCGTACGCCCCGCACTGGAGGCCCCCAGGGGGCCAAGCCAGGCGGGGCTGCTGGACTCGCCTCGGACCCTGGCGGCGGGGGGCCCCGTGTGGCCTCCGTGGCTCCCGTGCCTGTGGGTGCCGCCAGGCCCGAGGGCCTGGGGTGAGTGCGGCCGTCTAGGACCCCGCTTGCGGGGTGCTAGGGGCGGTCGCACTCACGCGGCGGGGGGGCCTCGTCGCCACTGCGGCCTCGCGTGGGGCGCGAGGTCGCGCTCGGGGCGGTCCTGGCTCGACTGGACCGCTCTATGCCGCGCCGATCCTCCTCCTCCTTCTCCTCCTCCTCCTCCTCCTCCTCCTCCTCCTCCTCCTCCTCCCCATCATCATCAACATCGTCATCAGCAGTATCATAACCATCAACCTTCTCCTCCTCGTGCACATTCTCCTCATCCTCCTCCTTCTCCTCCTCGTGCAGCTTCCTCACATGTGATCATCATGCTCCTCTCTCCTGATCGTGCTCGTGCGCCTCCTCCTGCTCGTGCACCTCCTCCTGCTTCCTCTCTTCACTCCAATTTGGTAGGGGAGCGCTCCCTACAACTGACTAATCCTAAACCACAGGCAATCGTCCCCTGGTGGCCCTTGCCCAAGCCAGGGCATTCACGAATACAGTCGGCCCAGATTAGTAGGTCGACCCTGCAAAATCAAGGGTACCCTTGTGTCCTGTGTCTCGTGACCCATGCTTCCTGCATTCCTGTGGCAATGTGGCCCTCGGAAGGTCCTTGTGTCCTCTCGCGTGTCCTGTGTACGCTCCTTTGGAACTCGCACGCCACCGCCCTCCTTCCGGGACTCCTCAAACCCTCCTCTGAGGACCAAAATAGGGACTCTGAACGTGTATATTTCCTCCTTCCCCCTTCCTTATTCATCCCCCGCCCGCCCCCGTCTGCGCTTCGCACGGTATGCCCATCCTTTTGCCTCCTTCACATTGCCGCACGAGGGCGCAGCCGGCGTGCGCCATGTATTACATGACGCACGCCGAAGGCCGCGCCAGGCATGGATTTCCTTTGGCAGCTGAAGTATTCCTCGCGGGCATGGGTTTCCTTGTCTATCCCGATGTGGACGCGGTGCTAGACGCTATGGAAGCCAAGGCGGCTGCGCTAGTTGAGTCACATAGCCAGGAGTCTGCCAAGGCCTGGTAAGGGGTTGCCAGATACCGTAATGCGTTTCCCGCGGCGGCGATCCGCTCGTCCATCTGGGCCCCAGACCAGGGCTGGGCCTAAACGGTGTTTTTGGTGATTTCGTGGGCCGTTGTCGTTTCGACTTCGTTTTGCAGCAAAGGCGGATTGGAGACAAAAGCGAGGGAAAACGAAAACAAAACGAAAACGAAAAACACCGTTTAACTTCAGCCCTGGCCCAGACCTCTGGCGATTCGGACAAAAAATGCGTCTGGTGATTTGCTTGTATGGCCTCTGGGGGCCGTCTCGGGACCCCGGGCCATCAGAAAAACGGCCCAGCATGAAAAACTTGTCCCGTCGAAGGGCCCACGACTATTTGCGAATCGTCCTATTGCGGGTCCAATCGATGTTTGGGGAGATGCTGCAGACAGCCTCCGAATTCTGGACCAGGGTAGGGCTCACATTTGGTTGACCGAGGTGGTCGACAGTCTCTGAGGCCAGCGACTCCAACAAGCTAAGAACTGGGACGCGAGATCGGGCTCCGATGGTGCGGCGTGCGGTGCTTGGGCAGGTGCCCTTCACGGCGGAGAAGGCGTGGCTGTCCCTCTTGGCGAAGTTCGCGGCCGACCAGAAGAACCAGCTGCTGGTGTCGAACCCCTGGGCGCAGGCCCAGTTCGAGTACCAGGATGCCTCGGCGGAGGAGGGATGACAGAGGCGAGGATGGGAAGGAGAAGGACGAGGACGAGGAGGGGGCGCAGTGATGAGGGAGGAGGGCCAGGGAGCAGGGAGCAGAGGGTGAGGACATATTGACCGTGGCGCCAGACGACGACCACGAATGCCACGACGACCACAACGACCGCGACGACCACGACCGCGACGTCGACGTCGACGACGACGGCGTTGACGTCGACAACAACGTCCCCGACCACGTCCACGACCAAGATCGCAACCAGGAGGACGACCACGACTACGACGTCGACGCAGGCGGCGACGACGACGCCGACGACAACGACATCGTTGCAGACGGCGACGGCGACGACGACGACGGCGATGGCGGTGGCGGTGGCGGCGACGACGACGACGACGACGAAAACGACGATGACGACGACATTGACGACGACGACGACGACGACGACGACGACGACGACGACGACGACGACGACGACGACGACGACGACGACTGCGTCGCCACGGCGGCGCCCCTGGCGGCAGCGGCGAAATCCTCTGGGGCGCTCCCGAGGCGGGCGTCGCCCTCCCGGTCATCCGGGTGCACGGCCTGTACACGGGCGCCCGCCGCAAGAGCGGCGAAGGCCCGCCCCGCGGGCGCGCTCTGCAGGCGGCGCCCCGCGCGCCGCCGCCGCGGCTGCTGGCCGCCTTTGCCGCCTGCCGCGGGTGCTGCTCGGCCGCGACGGCGTCAGCGATACCGACGAGGTCGACGCCGAGGATAACGACGGCGCCGACGGTGCCGACGATAACGACGGCGGCGGCGGCGACGGCCACGAGGACGAGGACGACGACGACGACGACGACGACGACGACGACGGCGGCGACGACGACGACGACGACGACGACGACGACGACGACGACGACGACGGCGGCGGCGGCGGCGATGACCAGGGGCATCGTCATCTCGCTGGGGACGACGTGTGCTGCTCCTCCTCGGGCCGCGAGAGAGGACAGGGCGCGGACAGGGCGCGCTCTGTCCGGCAGGTGCTCCCCAGGCCTCCGGAGGCGGAGCTTCCCGCGCATGTGGCTGCCCTGGCACGCCCGTGTTGAAGCGCCACCCGTGCCGTGTTCAAAGCGTCTCCGTCGTCTTCGCCTCTTTGGGCCTCCTGGGAGGCTCTCGTCGCTACCGCTGTATCCGCCTCGAGAGTCTAGTTGGAGCGCGCCCTGGAACGCGCCCTGGGAGGGATCTGGGGTACCCACACAGCTACCCTTCCCTTGTTTTCGCCTTTTTGGGCCTCCTGGGAGGCCCTTGTCGCTACCGCTGCATCCGCGCCTCGCGATTCTAGTTGGAACGCGCCCCGGGAGAGGTCCCGGGAGTAGCGCTATCGGTACCTTGTGGCTTCCCCAGTGTTGAAACGCAGCGCGTGCCGTGCCCAAGAGGTTCGTGTTAACACGCTGCGCGTTGGCTCGGCACGTGTTGGTCCACGCTTTGGCGAACGCATGGCGCCAGACCTGCGTTTTCGGTCTATGTGTTGAGTTCCGTGTCAACACTCTACGTGCTGCGTCTTGCGTATCGGGGCAGTTGAGTCCCGCGCCCAGCGGCCCGCGAGGCAAGGGGCAAGGACGGCCCCGGGGACTGAGATTGGGCCGAGAGCCTCGGAACCCACATGGCGCGGAAAAACGCGGCGCCAGAGGTGGGAAAGCGCGACGCCAGAGGTTTGGGAGATTGGTATCTTACAGCTGCAGGCTTGTCCCCTGGCGCCAACTGGGGTGGAACCGATGGCGCGACCCAGATAGCGGGTCAGCTCGTCAATTCGGGTGCCCGCCGCGTAGGGGAGCCTGTGAAGACATGTCTGACGCAACCCAGACAGAGAGCCAATTCGTGTCCCGGATGCCCTTCGCGTGGCACAGCCTTTGGCGCAGCCTTTAGCGCAGCCCAGGCGGAGCGGATCAGCTGGTGCATTCGTAAGCCCGCCGTGTGGCGCAACGCATGGCACAACTTGTGGCGCTGTGTGGAGCGCTTTGGAGCGTGTCCTTGCACATGTTCTTGCGGGTTTCGTGGCATGGTGCGATCAAGCGGCATCAAGTTTGGCACCATGGAGTGTTGATGCACTCGCGTTTCCCGGTCACTGTGAAGGTCGATGGTGCACTCATTCCATGAAGTAAGTTCGTCTGACATGCTGACTGGTCCGCCGTTCTACTTCTTATGTTTTGCTGTGTTTCTTGCACCTCTGTACGCAGCTTCCGCTCTCGCCTCCCTCCCCCCACCCCCCCCCCCCAACCCCTCCACACCCCCCTTCCATCTCCCCCTTCCCCCCTCCCTCCTTCCGACCTGCTCCCCTCGCCCGGAGGTCCCGGGGTCCGATTTCGTGAGGACGTCTCACGCGCAAGTGGCGCTTTGGACTTCGTGGGCGCACGCGCCGGAGTCAGGGCGACGTGAGTTCACAGTGAATTCTTCCCAGGGTCATGATCCAGCAACTAAACGGACGGGGCGAAGTAGGACGAGGACAGATCCGTTCCAGAGCGTTCTGGAGCGCTCTCAGAGCGTTCCCGAGTGCTCTGAGAAGGACGCGGCGCCCGGGACATCCTCCAGAACCGTTGGATCTCAGAGATTCTCGAATTTATCCTCACCCGACGTTATCCTCGCCCTGGCTTCGTCTTAAGTACGGCTGCGTGTGATGCCGCACTGGCGGCACCATTGGCTTTCGGAAACAGGATGTTAGAGCGTCCCCGGACCGGGTGCTCTGAGCCTCTGGCAGGCCAGGGCCTCCCAGGGTCGATTGCATGAAAAAGTGACCCTTCGCCAGAGTGACCTTTGGTGCGGGCTCAGCGGGGTCCGCCGATCGCTTAGCGCGATGCGATAATTAGTGGCTGCTTGCGTGCTTGGATTTGGCCACCTTGCGCCCGGTTTGTTCCCGGCACTGAAGATCACTCTTGCTTAGGGTCATTCTTGCGTGCAGCCGACAGGGCCGCGAGCCTCCAAACGCCTCCTGGGCGTTCCATGGCTTCCCAGGGCCTGCAAAGGCACCCGAGGGCCTCCCAAGGCCTCCCGTGGCCTTCGAGGCCTCCCGTTGCCACCCAGGGCATCCAAGAGCCTCCTGGCTCGTCCCAGGCCTACAAAGCATTGAGAACTCTGGCGTGCTTCATTATTCGCTGCTTGTCGCCCTTTTTGCTCCAAAGTGGCACCAGTATCGTTTAAGCACGGCCCCAAGGTGCAAAATAGTTGCTGCGATACTGCCTACTGCTTGACACTACCGAAAGGCAGCCCCCAAAGGCCAATATTACTCCAACATGCTTCTTGGGAGGCCCCAAGGTACGGCCCACAATCCCCATGATGGCTTCAAGATTGCCAAATCTTGCCCCGAAGGGGTATCCAGAGGCCTCAAGATGCCCGAACAGGCTCCAATATGGCCCAACAAGGCCTCAAAGGGATCCGACAGTTGTTCCGAGATGCTTCCGAGAGGCCCCCGTAGCAGATTTGGCTCAAGCTAAATGTTAGGGATGCAGATGTTGCGTAATCGGCATCTCTGCGGCGACCGCACGTGGCGCACCCACCGCCAAGACCAGCCATGGGCCCCAGGACGTGTGGCAGAAGGACACTTGTGCTTGTGCTCGTCCTGCGGCTCGTGGTTTGGAGCACCCTGCCTGGTGTATCTTGCCGGCACGGTGTTTTCACCGCCCGTCGCCCGCCCGCCGCTGGCAGGCTCAGCGTGCAGAGTCGTGGTAGGGCAAGGAGCGCATCGTTCTTGCACAGCAGCGCGAGAACCTACGATGCCACGGTTGCATTGATTGATCCGCAGAATGTGTCAGCATTGCTGATGGAGGTGGCTGGCAGCAGGCGGCTTCCAGACACACTATTCTTCTGCCAGAGCATGAAGTACAGCGCTGAGCACTTCCGCTCATACTATACGCTCACGAACGACGGCTTCGACCTGATCCTTAACGCGTGTCGGAGCGCAATCGGGCCATGCACCTTGAATCACACAGGCTCGTATGCAAAGCGTACTGGTTGCAGGCTAAGTGGAAGCGACGTCGACTACACCGTGTTTCGCATGGGTTCCCCCATGAAGCCGTTCACCGAGCTTGAGAAAATGAAACTTTTCGAAGCCATCAAATCTCTCGAAGGAATGGGCATGCACAGGGTCAAGTTCAATGGTACTTCGAAGATGGTTCCAGGGCCTACGATTCTGGTCGACGACGATCCCGGCAGCATCGCTATCAAGTTTCAGATATGCGAAGGCAGCCATTGTGCTCGAGTGGATTTGGTGATGGGTAGCTTTGACCACGAAGACTTCCCGCGGCTGCTCGAAAGCACGGACAGGACTAAAAACACAGACAGAATGACAAATCCGTAAGGGCTTCGCCTCATGCCGCCAGCCCCTTGTCTCGGATAATGGGAGATGCAAAAGCTAAATCATGAGGTCTCGGCGCCGCCGTGAAACAGTGTCGGGACCTGTTTGTTTTTCGACCCTGACCCTACGGATCTGCGTCACGGGTGCCACCGAATTTCAGAAATGTGGCAAATCTCCTGTGTTTTTGAACCCTGACCCTACGGATCTGCGTGAGCGGTGCCGCCAGATTTCAGAAATTCTTGACGCTTCGCGTATCCCCACCATCCCATCCAAAAACGATGCCCAGGCGAATTGCGGTGATCACGGAAGTGAGGGAGCATACAGAGTAGCAAAGGGCTAAGGGACCCGTCTTACCCAAGAGGGCGAGGATGGAGGAGGAGTCGGAGGAGGATGTGGAGGAGGAGGAGGAGGAGGAGGAGGAGGAGGAGGAGGGGGAGGAGGGGCAGCAGGTGGGAAAAGTGGGAGGAGGGAGGAGGGAGGAGGGGGAATAGGCGGATGATGAGGAGGAGGGGGAGGAGGAGGAGGAGGATGAGGAGGGGGAGGAAGAGAAGAGGAAAGGAGGAGGAGGATGAGGCTGATAAAGTGGAGGAGAAGGAGGAGGAGTAGGCCGACAAGGAGGAGGAGGAGGAGGAGGAGGAGGAGGAGGAGGATGAGAAAGATGAGAAGGAACAAGAACAATGACGTGCACAAGAGCCTCCTAGGATGTCCCTTGGAAGTTGTTTTGGAGTCCTCTTGGAGCGCCTGGGGGATTCTTGGATGCCTCGGGGATCCTCTTGAGGCCTCTTGGGGGTCTAGGGAGCCTCTTGAGGGCCTCTTGGGGACCTCTTGGGGCCTCCTGGGCGCCTCTTGAGGCCCTCTTGGGGCGCTCTTGGGAGCCTTGGGAGCGCTCTTGGGGCCATCTTGGAGGTGATCGATCAAAGGAAGGGGGTCCCCCAATTAGCGTCCCCCCTCGGGAGCCTCTAAAATCGCCTCTTGGACCCTTCTTGGGACGCTCTTGGAGCGCTCTTGGGCGCTCGTAGGGCCGTCTTGGGGCCATCTTGGGCCCCTCTTGGGGCCCTCTTGGGCCCTCTTGGAACCATCTTGAGGCCTCGAATGGCCATCGGAAGCGAAAAGGCGAGAAAACAACAAACATTGATTTTCCCTAGGTTTTGGAGCCATTTTGGCCTCTTGGGGGGCCTCCTTGGGAGGCTACGTGGCCAATTGGAGTCGTCTTGGGGCGGTCTTGGGGCCTTTTGGAGCATCCTCGGGGCCATCTTGAGGCGTCTTGGGCTGTCTTGAGCCATCTTGGAGATCATCTTGGGCTCTCCGAGGCCCTCTTGGAGCCATCTGTGGCCATCTTGGACGAACTACCAGCGAAACCCCCCGTCCAGGTCCAGGGGAGGGGGTTCGGGGGAGGGGTAAACCCCTCCCCGAAGGGGAAGAAGGGAAGATGGAAGAGGAAACTCCCTGAACCACCTACGCCCAGAGGGCTGGTGGGATTTAGCACATTCCCTATGTTTTTGGACCCTGACCCCGCCGATCTGCATGAGGGGTGCCACCGGATTTCAGAAATGTGGCAAATCCATGTGTTTTTGGACCCTGACCCCGCCGACTTGCGTGAGGGGTGCCACCGGATTTCAGAAATGTGGCAAATCCCATGTATGTTTGGACCCTGACCCCGCCGATCTGCGTGAGGGGTGTCAACTTTGATCCACCCCAGCAATTCAGAGCATATGATTTCTCCGTGGTAAAAATTTCCGTTTTGGGCCTCCCCCTCTCGCGCGGTCCATCAACAAGGAACAGTAAGCAGCAATAAGTCAACAAGGAACAGTAAGCAGCAAGAAGCACAACTGTAACAGTGGAAACTGGAAGCTGCAACTGGCACAGGAAACTGCGACGCTTAGCCCTACAGCCTGGTGGCCCCACAAAGGGGGCCGGCGGATTTCTTTCGCGGGTGCCAGCCTGCTCGGCTTGCAGTGAGTGCGTTGAAGCTACTCCTACAGGGCCCGCGGCCTCAAGGGATCGTGCTTGAAGGGGTGGTGATGAGGTTGGCTCTGCAGTACCAGCTTTGTGATGCTAGCTCCAGCAACATGCTGGCAACAAAGATGCATTGTGAGAACTATGTTGAGAAGACTGATGCGATGGCCCCGAACCGCAGACATGCAGAGGCTTTGGTCTCAACTTTCTTATTCCTCTTGGCACTGCGAGAGATTGCCGGGTTTGACAGCTCATCGTTGCTATCATTCCAAAGGGAAGATTTCGAGTCGGATCAGCGGTTCGAAGACACTACTCAGAGACTAAGGAGCGCCCGCGAACAGATTCTGTCAGGGCGCTGGTTTGAGAGTTGGGAGGCACTGGCTGTGCCCCTTCGCCACCCCGACAGGTACTTCTTCCGCCCTCGTGCTAATGACTCGTTGTTCCGATGCATGTTTTGCAACGAACACTATGCCGGGGTTGGGCTGCATGAAGGGAGCGCGTGCGTCAATTGCGGAAGGTACCAGCGGCAACATAAGCATTTTCTCCCTTTGGAGCGCAGCTGCAAGGCATTCGAGAAAAAACATCCCAATGCTGGTCCAGAGCCGCTGGTGAAAATCACAGGCACTTGGCTCAAAAGAACGCGTCGGAGAAATTTCGAGAGACGGCTGATGGGCAAGGCATCTGGCGTCAGGTCGATGAACCGTTACACGAAAGGCCTCAGGCGTTGCATGGGTTTAGTTGCCAAGGGTAAGTGCAAGGAGGCATTGCGAAAGCTATCCGCTGCAGTCCTCAATGGGACGGAGGACGCACCAAAGTATAGGATGTCATGTCAAGGCCAGGGCCTTTTTCGTGCAACCGTACAGCTTCGCAATCTTTCTCATCTCGACCATCTGGTCTGGTGCGAGTTCGAGGGGGATCCCTCGCAAACGCACCGTGATGCGAAGCGCCGTGCGTCTGCGGCAGCGCTAAGTCATTTTCTCCCGCGGCTGTTGCCAAACAGCGAACTTGAGAAAATTCGTTTTGCGCCGTGCATGTTGGGCCGATCGTTCCAGAATAGTCGTCGTCGATCGTCGATCGTAGATGGACGGCCTCGTCGTCGTCGTCGTCGTTCGACGACGACGGTCGTCGATCGACGGAGTCGGGGACGTCGATGGCAGCGTTGCCGTCATCGTCGTCGTCGTCTTCGTCGTCAGTCGTCGTCTTGGTCCCCCAAATCGATGAGCACCAACAATGGACCTGCTCCGATCCTGCCCAGGCTGGTCCTGGGCCCAGGATCGGTGTACAGTCGGACCGAGGTATAATATTGAAGTCGGTTCGGGGAGGGTACCCTCATGTTCTTCGTGTTTGTTGGATGTTGTTTTGCATCCTGGGGAGGGTACCCTTGGATGTTCTATGTGCTGTGGCTAGTGGATGGTCTCATGTTCTTGACTGTATGTGCACTCTTGTCTTAACCATGAGGGTGCATACACCGATCTTGGACCAACCATGAGCATGGTCAAGATCGTTGGGGGTGTATGCTCTGGGTCCCCTAGTAATCGCCCCCCCAAACAAAAACTGGCCCCCCCTCCATTCGCGACATCATTTTCCGCACTCCCCCTCCACGCGGGGCGCCCTAATATTCCGGACCCCCTCCAGCAACATTGCGAGCGCTATCGTTCATGACGGTGGTAAACAACAGTGGCGATAAGTAGTTTACCATGCATGATCGAACATACGCCAAATATTGACGGCGAAGATTGCACGCGAGCGGAAATGTAATACGCAGCGAGTGGCGGATGCAGATGTGATCGCACTTCTGATGATGGCGAAGGTCATATTGCCAATGGTATCAGTGTTGGAACACACATGTTGGTAAGTGCGCACAAAAGCATGACGTCGACGACGACGCTAGGGACGACACTATCGATGATGGCGTTGATGATGATGGGCAGGCAACGTCGATGATGATGATCATGATGGTGGTGATGATGATGATGATCATGATCATGATCATGATCATGATCATGATGAAGACGATGATGGTCATCGTGATGAAGATCATTTGGTGTGAAATTGCATGCGCAAAATTTTCCCCAATAAACCAGACCCCCGGAACGTCGGCTTCAAGAAAACGCCTTACCACACCGGACCCCCCTGCCTCCCCGAAAGGCGCCTTCAAACATTGGACCCGGGGGACGATTATCAAGGAATCCAGAGCAGTTGACATAAGCCTGGCCGGCCGCCAGGTCTCCTTCGATCATCGTCGATCCTCCTCTTCGATCGATTATCATCCCCCTCCTCAATCTTCCTCTTCGATCCTCCTCCTCGATACTCCCCCTCGCCCTCCTCATCGATCCTCCTCCACATCCTGATCCTCGACCCCCCTCCTCGATCCTCCTCCTCGACTATCCTCATCTATCTCCCTCCTCGACCCTCATCCTCCTCCTCCTCCTCGATTCTTCTCCTCCTCGTCCTCCTCCTCCCCCTCCCCCTCCTCCTCCTCATCCTCCTCGATCCTCCTCCTCGATCATCGGCCCTCGATCCCCCTCGATCCTCCTCCTCGCTCCTCGACCCTGCTCCCCCGCGCCGCGCCCGTGTCCTGCAGGTCCTCGTCTACGACCGCGTCAGTCCGCTGCTGGCCGGCGCGCTCGAGGCGCCGCTGCGTGGGGGGGGGCTCCCCCATGGCTGCCTCTCACCCTGTCCCCTGCTGTCGAATGGGGTGGGAGGGAGAGAAGAAGGAGGAGGAGGAGGAGGAGGAGGAGGCGGAGGAGGAGGAAAAGGAGGAGGAGGAGGAGGAAAAGGAGGGAGGAGGAGGAGGAGGCGGAGCAGGAAGAGGAGGAGGTGGAAGAGCAGGAGGAAAAGGAAGGAGGAGGAGGAAGAAGAGGAGGAGGAGGAGGAGGGAGAGGGAGAAAGAGGAGGAGGAGGAGGAGGAGGAGGAGGAGGAGGAGGACCTGTTGGACCTTTTGACCAAGCACAAGTCGTGCGGGGAAGGGGGAGGGAGGGGAAGGAAGGGAGAGGAGAGACACGCCCCGAACAGGGGTGCTTGAGCGAAGACGAAAACCGCCAGCGCCCCCACACCACTGCAGCCTCGACTGAGCAGTTTACACCTTAGGCGATGCTTAAGAGGACCTAAGTTTTCGGCCAGAGTCTCGATTATTCTTAACGTTTCCATGTAAATCTTCAGATTTTAATAGAAAATGTTGGGTTGTTATTCAAGTTCTGAGACTATGAATTTCTTAACCCATGATTTCTTAAGCATTTCGCAGGGTGTAGTGCCCCAGAGGGAGGCCAACTGCCCAGCCGAGGGGGACGGCGCGCTGTCCCCTCCCAACGGCGCAGCACCAGCGGCACTCGGGCACGACCTCGCGAGGCCGTTGGTCTCCATCGCACCGCGGACTGCCTGCAGGGCCCGAGGCACCCCTTCTCTGCGGGGGCACCTGCCCGCCTCGGTGCGCGCCAAATTCTCACGGCCTTCGCGGGCCATGCCCGTGCATGTTGACGCAAGGTACCGCCCGTCGATTGTGGCAACCGTCCCGCAGGCGGTGCAGAAACTCATCAGAGACCGCTCCCACCGCTGGGCAGTGCGGGAAGGATGCACATCGCGCCCCGCCGCCAGGA